GAAATAGAAATTATTTTATACTTTTTAGTGCATTTCGAAGTCGGTGTATTTTTTTTCTTAAAATTATTTTATTTCACACTTTTTAGTGGAATGGGGAGAATTGTATAGGATACTGTGAGACATTTCTTACATAACAATACCAAAGAATAGGATTTTGCAATAACAATAGTTATTATACATGTATACTGATTTTCGGCCGACAAGACGTGTTTGTAGAAACAGTAGAAAATCGGCGACTGCATGTTGACTCATACCCCACCAGAGACACGAAGGCATACGCAGAATTCAATATATTAGTAACAATAGGTTTTCGCTAATAACTCGAAAACTAAAGCTTCCCCTTAATTGCGGATAAGGAAAAAGTTGTTCAGAATCGTGCCCCTGATAACATATTAAAAGGACATTAAAATCGTCCAAAGTTGATTTCAACAGTTTTCAACAATTTTTCGCTAATATCTCGAAAACTAAAGCTTTTCGCGAAATTTGTATATGAACAAAATTGTTCAGAATCATGTCCGTGATAAGATATTAAAAGCACACTAAAATCGAGAAAAGTTTATTTCAAAAGTTGCCGGTTTTTTTGCAATAACAATACTTTGCAATTTGTGACGAATACGTCACGAGCCGTTCCGTCAGCCGCGCTTCGTCAGCCGCGCTCCATCGACCGCGCACCGCGAGGTGGGGACTCCCCACCGAGACCACCCACCGCGACCCGATACTACTTAGATAGCGATCGATCGCGTGATCGATTGAGTTGGCCTGGGGCTTCGGCCCCGAAAGGATCTTTTTGGAGGTCCTCTCCAAGGCGGTGATAGCCTCGGACCGGGAGGACTGGAGGCCACCATCGGCGTGGAGGGTAGCCCACGCGCCGAGGCTGGCCGCGCCAACGGTCAACCGACTTATCCGACCTCGTGGATAGCCCTCGGGGAAGGTAAGCCGTGGGTAGTCGTTACGTTGGAGGGTAGCCCACAGCTTGACGTCTGCCAGACCGTGGAGGGAAGAGCCAACTCCAGGGACGCTCTCAGAGGTCCTCCCCGGTAGTAAGGTCCTCCTGGTCCGGTGATAGCCTCGGACTGGGTGGACTGGAGGCCAGCATCGGCGTGGAGGGTAGCCCGCGCGCCGAGGCTAGCCGCGCCAACGGTCAACCGACTTGTCCGACCTCGTGGATAGCCCTCGGGGAAGGTAAACCGTGGGTAGTCGTTACGTTGGAGGGTAGCCCACAGCGTAACGCCTGCCAGACAGTGGAGGCAAGAGCCAGCAAGAGGAACACTCTCGGTCTTAATAAGAGAAAGGCAAGGCCAAAACTGGCCACTTACCCCGTGTACTTTACTCTCCTTCCCTCCTCCTTTCAATCGCGCCGAACCATAGATATAGGAACCGCGAAACCCGCGAACGCGTTCGACCGACCGTACTGCGAACTCCGCGAGATGTTCCCTCCGTCCGAACCGCGAACTCCGCAAGATGTTCCGCCGACCGACCCGCGAACGCGTGCCGCGACCGATCCGTAACTCCGCGTGGCGTTCCCCCGTTCTACCGACCGACCGACCGTACCGCGAGCGCCGCCGGGTATAGTTTATAAGATAGAATGTAAGCGTAGGACTAGCGTAGCATATAAGGATAGCGTGTAAGACTATATTGTATAAGCGTAGCATGTAAGATTATATTATATTATACTGCGTTAGTATGTAAGATCCCGCGCCGCCACCGCCGTCAATCTGTAAAACCGGCCGCTAAAACCAACCGATTATATTTGCATTGTAGAAGCCGAAGACCGCGGAGCAACAGCCGCCTCCACCCGCCAACACCACCGGCGGACCAGGGCCCTAGTACCCCGGCCCCATAATATTAATAAATAAGCATAGTTAGAGTTAAACACCGTGTTCTCTTTTCACCCGCGACCAGTCCCCTTCCTTCCGCGATCGGCCCCCTCGCGTCGACCCTGGCGCGCTGAAGCGTCCGGCACAAGGGGGCCTGTGAGCCGCGTACTCCACCGCGCTGCCTAGCAGCGCAGGCGGAGGAAACGGCTACGTTACAAAAT